ACAAAAAAAAAAAAAAGAAAATATTAGATAAAACTTTTAATCGATCAAAATGATATAAAATGTTCACGCAAAATATGAATTATTATTTTTTAGTATATATTTTGTATGTGCTTAAGTCCTGAAACATATCAATTTCGATATAGAATACTAATTTATCTTAGCGATATTTATATTTATATATCTATATATCATCATTTCTTGCTCTGTAAACACGATATCTAAAAGTCTGCATAATATGATTTAGCATGCAGATAATCTTTCCCTTGCTTTCAATTTCGGAATTTTGATAATTAAAGTGGAATTGATCTATCATTTCCGCGTTTCAACGTAATCATTTAAAGTTTAACACAATATCTATTATTAGAATTCAGTATAACATTTTACGTAACAAAGTTATAAAATTATTAAATATATATATATATATGAATTGCGCACGGTTTGGTTGTAAGTAAAAAGAAAAAAATATTTAAAAAAAAGAAATATATAAAAGCGCACCAGGTAAATGCAAAATAAAACTTCTTTGGAGATTGAACGAACATACGAAGACTGGGCACCTTCCCAATGAATAGCGTACGCGCTGGCCTACTCTCGCGTGTCTCTTACAAGTTCGATTCACTGATTAAAAGTACTTCTAAGCTTTGTGTTAACTTCCGTACGTAAGTAGCCGCGGTAGGTATTTTTTGTATTTGCTATACTTTTTGGAATATAAAACATTGTAGTATTTAAGGTACTTCAAAGTCTGCATACCTCATCGTTGATTATTGTGCCCCAACGTAGTAACGTACAATTGTGATTTTATACAGTAAGATGAGATCGTAATACCTTCATTTATCATATATCAAATGTAATAACAACATAACACAACAGTTTATTAATGCACATCATTAACTTTTTGTACTGTTACCATTGTTTTTTTTTTTTTTTTTTTTTTTGTAAAAAAAAAATGAAGGCTTTATAGTACAAGGAGTTTGTGCTTGAAAAAAAGAAAGAAAGAAAATAACAAAAAGAAAGCAAAAAACAAAATAGAAAAAAGAAGAATATTGAAATATTAGATTAAAGGTATATACTTTCTAATTTTACTTTATAGAATATAGTGGACGTTACGAATAAAAAGAAGCACATAATCAGGGATAACGCATGCAGATACCTTATTATCCGTATCATGCATAAAAATAGGATATTTTATACTACTCACTGGTTTGGATGACTTCGTTGTAAGGAAATTATAAACACAATGCATATGTAGATACTTTAACCAAATTATCCAGGTTGCCGCATAGCAATTCTAACTCACATCGTTACCCAGAATGGTCGAGTAAAATAGTGTGAGAGAGTGGAAATAAAAAAAAAAAAAAAAAAAAAAATAAATAAAAAAATAAAAAATAACAAAACAAAAAAAAAAAAGAAAAAGAAGAAACAAACAAATTATCTACAGTAAAGAATCGAGTCATTAATTGTTTCTCTGTCATATTCTTTATTTCTATTAGCCCATTCATATTGATGTAGTAGTTCTTGAGCTATAGAGAAAAGATTTGATTAATTTAAAGAAACATAAAAAAAAAAAAAAATAAAATAAACATTCTATTTTAAATGGTGCATTCGGTTGTGCAAAAAGAAAATATAATAAAACATTAGAAAATGTCATGAATAAAATCTTTGACTTTATTTCGAAGATGAGTTCTCAGAGATTAAGAGAGATCTCATAATAGCATAAACGCGTAGTAGTTATGTGATTTTGATTAGATTGTAATTTTGTAATGATACTTTTAGCTGCGTATAAGCATGCCGATGGTAAGAAAATAGATGGTCGCAGAGTGTTGGTTGACGTGGAGCGTGCAAGAACAGTAAAAGGGTGGCTCCCTCGACGACTTGGTGGTGGTCTAGGTGGTACTCGCAGAGGTGGACCCGATGTGAATATTAAACACTCCGGTAGGGAAGATAATGAAAGGGAAAGAGAAAGATATCGTCTCGAGCGAGAGAGGGAAACTTCTGGACGAGGGATGGACAGGGATAGGTAAAAAAAATACATTTTTGTTGTTGTTATTAATTAAATATAATTCAAATGAAATTACGTATAATAATAATAATAAAAAAAAATGCAATCTTACATTTTTACAGAGATATTAAAATATTTTACGATCTTCAAATAATTAATAAGAATCGTAAATTATATTTGTAATTACTTTTTGTTGGTTTGTTTTTTAGGGATCGTGATCGTTTAGACAGAGAACGTAGAAGGTCACGCGATCATAAAAGAAGATCAAGGAGTAGGTCACGCGACCGAAAACGTAGACGTAGTAGTCGAGATCGTTTACCAGATCCTGATATAGAGGAAATTCAAAGGGACGAACGACCACGCGATAGAAGAGATCGTGATCGTGAACGTGATCGTGATCGAGATCGTAAGAGGAGTAACGATCGTGATCGCGATCGCGATAGGGACAGGAAGAGAATTAAGAGAGACAGAGATCGTGAACGCAGGGATAGAAAAGATCGTGGTGATCGACAGGATGAGGATACCAAGGAAATTCGTATTAAGGAAGAACCTTTGGATGGTACTCTTTATATAACATTTATATATATATATTATATAGAAATCATTTCAATGGAAGTAATTATTATATGAAAAAATTGCGTATGTTACATTTAACAAAATTAATATCGTTTCATATAAATTTGCTTGTATATATATATATGTATAAGGGTCGTTAGTAAAGAAAGGGTTAAAAACAATTTATTACTCACTTGTAGTAATTAAAAAAAAAAAAGAAAGTATTAATTTTTACACGCTTGTATAAATTAATATATATATATATATATATAATTTTAATACACCTTGCTTTCGTTTAGAAAAATAATTTAGTAATGTATTTTATTAACTGCAACACACTCTTATATAATTTGTATATTTGATTTTGTTGAAATGTAATGTACAATCTTTCTTTTGAAGGATACCCATGAGAGAGTGTTTATATTAATGATTTAAAAAATATAAATTGTTTTAATAATGGGAAATATTTTCAGATTATCCCGATTATAGTAACACGTTCTCAACGTCAGGATCATATTTCACCGCAGTCAAGTATGAAGACGATAACGATCAAGAAGTCGAAGAAAAATATAGAATTCCCGAAGGTCGCCCTGATCCACCCCCATACAATAATTACGACTCTGTACAAGATTATTGATCTCAGTAATATGCCTTATGACGTTTTCTCTCAGCCCGCGACGAATCGATGCAACCATCAATAATAATGTTTATATTGTATTTCCTTATTGTTATTAGCATAAATGCTGTAAATTACTGCATTTGAGTTACAACGAGAATTGTATAGCGGAATGGAAAATTTTTAATGAGCAGATTATTCTATTTGGCATATTGCAAGGTAAGCAGCTTTGATCTAAGTTTATAAATTAGCCGCCATCCATTTATCCGTTCCCTTGGTAATTAATTAATTTAGAATATTATATTATATTATATTATATTATATATATATATTTATACCACCCATATATAATTTTTCGTCGATTGGTTTTGAACAAAAGAACAAAAAAAAAAAAAGAAACCACAGAAAAGGTAAAAAAATTTTTATAAATTCGAATGTGTTATTTAAAAATACGATATTCTAGCAGTTGAAAAAACAACCTCGCAATATGGAATATATTTACACACACACACGTACACCCATCCACACATACGCAAAACACCCAGAAAGTTCGTAAACGTTTTCAATTTTATTGCTACCACGAATAAAAAAAAAAAAAAACAAAAAAAAGCAAAAAAAAGAACAAAAAAAGAAATATTATCACTCGCTGTAATTTGTACATACATAATAACGAGTATATGAAAATGAATTTTTTCTTCATAGTAATTGCTGCTGCTGCATGTATATTTATATATATATGTGTACATGTATAAGTATATTCATATATATATATTTGTATATGTATGTGAATATATGCATGAGTATATATATAGTATATATATGTATATATATTCTAATAAAATAAAGGATATAATTCATCTGTTAGACATTTATAAAAAAAAAAAA